TTATATACCTCAATATCCCAAAGCGTCCGAAGCGTTAACAGAAATTACGTATCTACAGACCCATTCATTTTTTACGTACTTCAGTGATGGATGTCCTTTATCGGGAAATTTTTGTTTTGCTGAAATTACAGAAAAAACATGAAAATAGACGTCTGGTATATGCACGACTTTCAACACAACTTGTACATTGTCATAAACATGATTTATTTTTCCCTTTTCAGCATTTTCCGCTTAAAATCTCGCCACCAATACCTTTAAAATTGTTTTTATCTCATTATTGCAGTCTCAAAAGAAAGAAAGAAATATATTTGTATAATTAAGTTTTTTATGTTAACTTTACGACATGTTGAATTCTTTTCTGAAATATCTATAAGTAGAAATAAACTTTTGATATTATTCAAAGCCAAAAAAACAACAACATGAAATTTCTTTTAATAATCATCTTTTGCACATCTTTATCAATAAGTCTGAGCTTTAACAAGATTCTTCTTTAGGAATTGTTTTCCAATACCACTACTATGATTACCTAAGAGTATTTGGAATCGTTAAAACGTTGCAAACAATACATTTCAACAAACATTTTAAGTTATCTATTTTATGACGAAAGCAAACGTTTATTATCTACTCTGGTTGTTTGTTTTTGTTGTTGTTTTTTAGGGGGGTGTTGTTGTTGTTGTGTTCTTGTTTTTTTCTTGAGTAATAAACCCTGTAAGTAATAACGCTATAAAATCTGCTATACATAAATAGCAATTCATTATGTTTTAAAAAATATTTGCATTGAATCATAACACCATTCTGAATTAATTGCATATTTAATTTATTTCTTCCTTTTAAAAACACTAAATTTCTCTTGTTTTCAACTTATTTTTAAGTTTGAATTAAAATCCATTTATTTAACTCATTTTCTTGCTTTAAATTCATAACTGTTAATTTATCTAGAGATAGGAATATCAATCAAACATAACATCTAATAGCAAATGTGTTTGTAAAGACATTTGACATTTGACCCGGGTCCTTGTTTAGTGAGAGTGGAAAAATTTCAGGCCAGATTGTGTCTGTGAGCAATGAAAGCACAAATAAAACAATGCGCATTCATTGATTCGGTGTTCGGGGAGAAAATAAAAGTACCAATTCCAACACCCAACTAATGACCTCAGTTAGTCTTATAATTAACTTGATATCAATCAAAACGAATGGTAAATCTAGAAGTTCCAGCTTCACAATCAGATAAAAACAGATATATCATTTTCGTTTGTCTAAGGTATTGCTTGAAAAATATCAAATGCAATACACTTTAATTTTGGTAAAAAGTACGAATTTGGGTGACAAAATGTGTTAGAATTTTTTACATGTATATATATACAGTACACAAATAGTATTCTAGAGTTGAGAACGTTATTTACTGCTGTAATCAATAAAGATTTGTCAAATATTTCTGTTACTTATGTAGCTAATAAAATATTTATAACTGTTTAAATATTTTCACTTTTTGAGCAACTTGATCATTTCGTAAAATTCACATATTCTAAACGTTAAGTTTTACAACAATGTTGTATATATTTTTAAAAGGTATAAAATGTATATATGGTATAGGTTTGGAAAAAGTATGTTTCTATCATACACAAACTATTTTTTTATAATTTTGTTAATAATTAAATGACAATATTATTTATGACGAATGCTTGAATGACATTTTTAATAAATCATGTAATTTTTTCGTGCACAGATGAAGTAACGTGTTGGAATTTCGTTTGCCTTTTAGTATGCATAACAGACAAGAATAATTATGTTACCTTCAAAATATTTTGAACGTACAGGAATCTAGTTTCAATTGCATATTAAAATTTCATATTTATCAAATTTAATATGACTGAACACCGTGCAAAGTTTAAGTCTGGAGCTAAGCATTACATTCTTCCAATACATGTATTTATAAGCATTTCTTTACTTTTTGTTTTTGTTTGCGTCTTTGCGTTCAGGTTTTGAGTGTGTTTTTTTTATATAAATTTCCAGTAATTATAATGTTGAAAATAGAATGTTTTAATTTATTATCTCATATTTTTGCACGAACTAAAAGTCTAAAGTTACATAAAAAGAAATGCATCGTTTTTTCGGCGTAAGTAAGCACAACAGAAAAGTTTATAGTGAAGGCTTACTATAGATCATATTGTTGATAAATAATGTACCCTGCGATGTATTTGACAATATTTAAATAGAGAAAGATGGAATCCCTAAAAGAACGCCCAAAACGACAAAATAGAAAATATTGCAGACTTGGTTTGAATGAGCCTGTTCATTGACGGTACTTGATTTCTCTGAGTTTCAAAACAAACTTGGCCAAGACAAACAACTGAAAATTTGCCTTTTACTAAACATCGATAAAATATTATATATTATAGCCTTATTTAAATTAAACTTTCAAATAAAGCTAAAATTTAATCAAGTAGGAACAACGTGTGAACAATATATTGTAAAAATATGCAACCATATAGTTGAGCAAAATTTGAAGACGTAGACATAAGTAAAATACTAAGTAAATTAATTACAGGTAGAAAAATACATGACTGAAGCACAGAATAAATTGTTGTTTCGATCAATGTAATTTGTAGCTGAAACTGTATTTTAACTTAATGCTTGCTATATTCTTCTTGGCATTCAGGATACTTTATTCCAGGACATTAAGTCTTGATGTTGTTTGAGTACGGTTTAAATCGAAACTAGGCAGAGTGTGAGATGTTACACTTTTTATAACCTCAATTATCAGTTTCTGTATATTAAAGGATATTTGATTGTTTTACAAAATCAGACAGTCATCTGGCAGCAACAAAGATAAAGCAAACTTCCTTTGAGTAAAACATAGAAAAACAGACTCCTCAAGTAACACCCAAAACCAAACCATGGACAAGGAAAATGTTGCAGGGCAGTCTGGTTGAGCCTGTTTATGAACGGTAATGGTAGTTCCAAGCTACCATCCATGCCCCTAGCACTGGCTTTAAACTTTTAAAATATTTTATTAAATACTATAGAGTCAAAGACCATACTGAATAGTGAATATTTTTAACAGTAAAAAGTGTTTAGTAATTATTTTTATAAGAACACGTAAAATTGCCAAAGCTTTGTCACACTGCTTATAATCTATGTGCAGATTCAAACGAAGACCGGCTGATCAGACAACAATAAACAATTCTCTAACTGTTAATGAAAAATAAACCCCAAAGAATAGAAATAAAGATAATATGAATTCTGGATCTTGCATCGTTTTCATTTACGGTCGCCTATTAATCCAATCTGATTAAAATCAGCTCCTAAATAACGCTACACATTATGATCAGCTAGCGATCATCAATATGTGGCAACCTTCTCGTGATTTTTCAAACAGCCAATCATCGGTGAGCTCTTACTATTTTGCGATGCGTTTCTGGTGAAAATGTTTACGATTTCGCAAGAACAAACACGGCGCCTTCCATATACACTACAGGTAAACTGGCAAAACAATATTGCCCATTAAAAATTTCAAGTTGACTTGTTTCAAATTGCTTCAAACAATTTTCTATCTAACAAAGATCAATAATTTGTTTTACTTATACGGACGATGAGAATTGACTTTGCCAGTAAAACCAACAAACAAGAGGTTTGGTAACACTAACAATCCGAGTTTTTTCATGGGTGTAACCATTACTGGGTTGTAAAACCATACTGTATTGTATAAAAAATTTATATCCTTCTAATGAAACGAAACAAGGATAAATGAAAATTGCAGACACGGTTTGATTGAATCCCGAGTAACAGAATTCAATTTTCGATGCTTTCGATGCTTTGTCCTTAAGGATTCCACATAGAGTAGGAGATGGAATGTTCTTAGAATTAGGGTGGTGGGAAAATTGGAGACAATGCACATCACATTATCTCTCGTAAACAATGTTAATCCTATTAAGTACACTTTTAACGTATTAATTATTTTGTCAACTAATTTATTTTGCTTTCATCTATGACAAACTTTCCCTATGATTTGCCTGATTCCCCCTTTGCAGCATTGTTGTAATAATAGATTAACCTTTAACTTGTATTTGACAAAGTTAAACTGAAACTAAATCCAAGTTATCACTGTTTGATACCATGAATAAGCCAATTTTAATATATGGATGTAATGTAAGGGGTTTATAAGGATGTAGACAAGCTACCATGTTAGATTTTGTAAAAATATTTTAGGGGTTAAACACAGTCATTAAATTATATTGTTTAAGGTTAGCTGTTCCTTGCCTTGCCAGTTATATGTTAAATTTTTGCTTAAACTGGTGAAAACAACGATATACTCAGACATATATCATATGTATAAAGATCAATGTGACAATATTACCGGTGTATGATGGGCCAAAGGAACGGATCCTTTTAGATGGCCATTAAGGATTTACTAATATAAGTTTGCATTTTGATGTCTTTGTCTCTAATCTAATTAATTCGAAAAATTACGTTTTGAGTTATGATGATCAATCTAAATCGTTACGTTGCTGAATTTCTGAAAAAGACTTATCCAACTTCCTGTTTGGGAGTTCTTCATTATCAAATAACTGTAGTGCAATGTCAGATGTGTAGGCTGACCTTGTGCTATAGTGGTGACAAAGGCTACTAACTTCCGGTTTTAGCAGGCTAATGTTTATTTATTTGCTTATATGTAGACTGTCTCATATTAACTGATTCTATCTGCAGAACAAGAAAGGTAGTCACTGATTGGCTGATTGAAAGGTCACGAAAATGACCTGGTATTTGTGACTGTCAGATCATCAAGTTGAGAGTTATCATCAGATTGGTACGGAGTGTGGTAACTATGTCATCTCAAATCGCTGAAACATGTTTATAGGTACCAAATCAATTTAATTCATTTTCAGTAATATTATTATAGAAGAGCAAAGTTAAGGAAAAGGTGACCCTGTTTGTATTTTTTCAGAATACAAAATACTGAAAACAGTGAATTAAAACACGTCTACAACAACAACAACAACTTTTTTCCGAATGCCATAATTTATTTCATAAAAGGAGTATTATACACAAAAATCACAGTCGGTCGTTGTATTCCAATTTGTTCCGATGAGCCTGAAATAAAAAGTAATACATAAATGATTTGAAAAGTTTTAATGAATACATTTCAATAAAATAATTTTTGACTAAATGAATAAATAATACCGGGTACCAGTATGATAAAATCATTCAAAATATTAACACCAGAGCTTATAAAAACTGAAATTCATTTTAATATTAAAATCAATATTTATGTTCCTTGATTTATTTGCAATACTCGAACTGCATATTCATCGTAGCCATGATCTCGAATAAATCCTATAAAGCAGGAATATCAAACTAAATGTTATATTCTGATAAAGAGTAACGTAATGAGAGCAAATGAAAACACTAAGGATCAAAGAGTAATTATTCATTGTTCATTACATTGTTAGTATATCAAAATTCAGTTTTACCGTCAAGTCGCTTTCTGTCCGCTCTAGTACTTGTGCCTGCAGCACCAGACCTTCTTGCAAAATTTACACCAGGGGCATCTGCCTCTGGGCCTTTCTCCCCACCAACATCGGTTTCTGCATCTGCATCTTCCACCAAAACCTCCTCCTCCCCAGCTCATACCGGAACCACCGCCAAATCCACCGCCGAAACCGCCACCATACCCACCGCCAAATCCGCCTCCAAAGCCCACTCCATATCCACCGCCGAATCCACCACCGAATCCGCCTCCAGATCCGCCACCGAATCCTCCTCCAAATCCGCCTCCAGATCCGCCTCCATAGCCTCCCATATGGCCACCACCTCCATAGCACGGCCACTTATGACATTTTCTAGAGAAACCTAAAAAATAAATTAGTTGCTTCTGTTTTGATGTCATACTTATCTAGCCAAATTGCTTCTTGTACATTGTAATGTATTTCTTTTTTAATTTATTGTTATTTTATTAATTTGTCGTCAAACTGTATTTTTAATGTGTTTATTTATAATATCTCTTTTGCAGTATTTTAAAAACCAGCAATTATAACGATAACGAAAAGATAACGACAAATGACTCACTTAATGCTGTTGGCGCCAAAAGAGCGGCTAAGCAGACGATAAGAAGAGTGACAGCAGATCTCATTGTGACGAGCAGTGGATAACTGACGAGTTTGAAAATATTATGCTGCCTTTATATACCTCAATATCCAAGCGTCCGAAGCGTTAACAGAAATTACGTATTTACAGACCCTTTCATTTTTTCACGTACTTAAATGATGGATGTGTTTATGGGAAATTTTTGTTTTGCTGAAATTACAGAAAAAACATGAAAATAGACGTCTGGTATATGCACGACTTCAACAACTTGTACATTGTCATAAACATGATTTATTTTTCCCTTTTCAGCATTTTCCGCTTAAAATCTAACCACAATACCTTTAAAATTGTTTTTATATCATTACTGCAGTCTCAAAAGAAAGAAATAAAAATGATTTGTATACTTTAAGTATTTTATGTTAACTTTCGGTTATGTCATTTCTGAAATATCTATATAAGAAGAAATAAATTTTTGATACTATTAAAAGCCAAAAAAACATGTTATTTCCTTTAATAGTCATCTTTCGTACATTTTTATCAATAAGTCTGAGCTTTAACAAGATTCTTGTTTGGGACTTTTATCCAATACATCTAGTAGGATTAACTAAGTGTATTTGGAATCGTTATAACGTTGCAAAACAATAAATTCTTTCCAACAAACATTTTGGGTCTTCTCTTTTATGACAATAGAAAACGTTTATCATCTACTCTGGGTTTTTTGTTGTTTGTTTTTGTTTTTATGGGGGTGTTGTTGTTGTTGTGTTTTTGCTTTTTCTTGAGTAATAAACCCTGTAAGTAATAAAGCTTTAAAATTTGCTATACATAAAGAGCAATTCATTATGTTTTAAAAATAATTTGCATTGAATCATAACACCATTCTGAATTAATTGCATATTCAATTTACTTCTTCCTTTAAAAACACTAAATTTCTCTTTTTTTTCAACGTATTTTTAAGTTTGAATTGAATATCATTTATTTAACTCATTTTCTTGCTTTAAATTCATCACTGCTAATTTATCTGTGGATAAGAATGTCAAACATAACATCTAATAGCAAATGTTTTTGTAAGACATTTGACATTTGACCCGGGTCCTTGTTTAGTGAGAGTGAAAAATTTCAGGCCAGATCTGTCGTGAGCAATGAAAGCACAAATAAAACAATGGCATTCATTGATTCTGTTCGGGAGAAAATAATACAATCCAACACCACTAATGACCTCAGTGAGTCTATAATTAACTGATATCAATCAAAACGAATGTAAATCTAGAAGTTCCAGTACAATCAGATATAAACATATATATCATTTTCGTTTGTCTAAGGTATTGCCTGAAAAATACCAAATGCAATACACTTTGATTTCAACAAAAGTACGAATTTGGGTGACAATATGTGTAAGAATTTGATATATATACAGTAAACAAATAGTATTCTATAGTTGATAACGTAATTTAATGTTGTAATCAATAAAGATTTATCAAATATTTCTGTTACTAATGTAGTTAATGAAATATTTATAACTGTTTAAATATTTTCACTTTTTGAGCAACTTGATCATTTCGTAAAATTCACATATTTTAAACGTTAAGTTTTACAACAATGTTGTATATATTTTTAAAAGGTATAAAATGTATATGGTATAGGTTTGGAAAACAAACTATTTTTGTTTTATAATTTTGTTAATACTTAAATGACAATATTATTTATGACGAATACTTGAATGACATTTTTAATGAATCATGTAATTTTCTCGTGCACAGTTGAAGTTACGTGTTGGAATTTCGTTTCCCTTTTAGTATGCATAACAGACAAGAATTATTATGTTACCATCAATATATTTTGAACGTACATGAATCTAGCTTCCATTGCATATTAAAATTTGAAACTTATCAAATTTAATATGACCGAACACTATGCAAAGTTTAAGTCGGGAGCTTAGCATTACATTCTTCCAATACATGTATTTATAAGCATTTCTTTACTTTTTGTTTTTGTGTGCGTCTTTGTGTGCATGTTTTGAGTGTGTTTTTTCACTTTTCTATTATGTATATTTTAAATAAATTATTTTCTAGATATATGCTTATATAAATTACCAGTAATGATAATGTTGAAAATAATTTTTTTTAATTTATTATTTCACATTTTTGCAAGAACTAAAAGTCTAAAGTTACATATAAAGAAATACATCGTTTTCTCGTCGTAAGTAAGCACAACAGAAAAGATAATAGTGAAGGCTGACTATAGATCATAGTGTTGATAAATAATGTACCCTGCGATGTATTTGACAATATTTAAGAAAATAGAGAAAGATTGAATCCCTAAAGAACGCCCAAAACGACAAAATTGAAAATGTTGCAGACTCGGCTTGAATGAGCCTGTTCATTGACGGTACTGGATTTCTCTGGATTTCAAAACCAACTTGGCCAAGACAAACAGCTGACAATTGCCTTTTATTAAACACCGATAAAACATTATACATTATAGCCTTATTGAAATTAAACTTTCAAAAAAGGCTATAATTTAATATTGTAACAATATGCAACAATATAGTTGAGCAAAATTTGAAGACGTAGAAATAAGTACAACAAAAGGTAAATTAATTACATGTAGACAGATATATGACTGAAGCACATAATAAATTGTTGTTTCTATCAATGTAATTTGCAGCTGAAACTGTATTTTCATTTCATGCTTGCTATCTTCTTGACATTCAGGATACTTTATTCCAGGACATTTAGTCTTGATGTTTTTTTGAGTACGGTTTATACTGAAACTAGGGAGAGTGTGAGATGTTATACTTTTTATAACCTCAATTACCAGTTTCTGTATATTAAAGGATATTTGATTGTTTTACAAAATCTGACAATCATCTGGCAGCAACAAAAATATAGCAAAATTCCTTTGAGTAAAAAATAGAAAAACGGACTTCTCAAGGAACACCCAAAACCAAACCATGGACAAGGAAAATGTTGCAGGGCAATCTGGTTGAGCCTGTTTATGAACGGTAATGGTAGTTCCAAGCTACCATCCATGCCCCTTGCACTGGCTTTAAACTTTTAAAATGTTTTAAAAATACTATAGAGTCAAAGACCATACTGAAAAGTGAATATTTTTAACAGTAAAAAGTGTTTGCTAATTATTTTCATAAGAAGAGGTAAAATTGTCAAAGTTCTGTCACACCGCTTATAATCTATGTGCAGATTCAAACGAAGCCCGCCTGATCAGACAACAATAAACAATTCTCTAACCGTTAATGAAAAATAAACCCCAAAGAATAGAACTGAAGATAATATGAATTCTAGATCTTGCATCGTTTTCATTTACGGTCAACTATTAATCCAATCTGATTAAAATCAGCTCCTAAATAACGCTACACATTATGATCAGCTGGCGATCACCAATATGTGGTAACCTTCTCGTGATTTTTCAAACAGCCAATCATCGGTGAGCTCTTACTATTTTGTGATGCGTTTCTGGAAAACCAATACTGGGGAAATTTTTACGATTTAACGGAACCACGGCGTCTTCCATATAGACTACAGGTTAACCGCCAAAACAATAATACCCATTAAAAATCTCTAGTTGACTTGTTTCAAATTGCTTCAAACAATTTTCTTTCTAACAAAGATAAATAACTTGTTTTACTTATACGGACGATGAGAATTGACTTTGCCAGTAAACCAACAAACAAGAGGTTGGTAACACTAACAACCGAGTTTTTCATGGGTGTAACCATACTGGGTGTAACCATACTGTATTGTATAAAAAATAATATCCTTCTAACGAAACGAAACAAAGATAAATGAAAATTGCAGACTCGGTGTGATTGAATCCCGAGTAACAGAATTCAATTTTCGATGCTTTCGATGCTTTGTCCTTAAGGATTTCACATAGAGTAGGAGATGGAATGTTCTTAGAATTAGGGTGGTGTGAAAATTGGAGACAATGCACATCACATGATCTCTCGTAAACAATGTTAATCCTATTAAGTACACTTTTAACGTATTAATTATTTTGTCAACTAATTTATTTTGCTTTCATCTATGACAAACTTTCCCTATGATTTGCCTGATTCCCCCTTTGCAGCATTGTTGTAATAATAGATTAACCTTTAACTTGTATTTGACAAAGTTAAACTGAAACTAAATCCAAGTTATCACTGATTGATACCATGATTAAGCCAATTTTAACATATGGATGTGAAGTGTGGGGTGTATAAGGATGTAGACAAGCTACCATGTCAGATTTTGTAAAAATATTTTAGTTGTTAAACACAGTCACTAAATGATATTGTTTAAGGTGAGCTGTTCCTTGCCTTGCCAGTTATGTGTAAAGAACGATCCGTTAAATTTTGGCTTAAACTGTTGAAAAACAACGATTTACTCAGACATATATCATATGTATAAAGATCAATATGACAATATTATCGGTGTATGTTGGGCCAAAGGAACGGATCCTAAAGATGGCCATTTAGGAATTACTGATATAAGTTTGTATTTAGGATATCAATATTTGACTCTTTAAAATTAGCCGTCTTTGTCTCTAATTTAATTAATTCGGAAACTTAGTTTAGAGTAATGGTGATCATTTAAACCCTTACATTCCTAAATTTTTTAAAAGACTTGTACAACTTCCTGTTTTGGAGCTCTCCGTTATCAAGTGTGTGTAGTGCAATGTCAGATGTGTAAACTGACCTTGAGCTATAGTGGTGACAAAGGCTACTAACTTTTGGTTCCAGCAGGCTAATGTATATTTAATTCTTTATATGTAGACTGTGTCATATTAACTGATTCTATCTGCAGAGCAAGAAAGGTAGTCACTGATTGGCTGATTGAAAGGTCACGAAAATGACCTGGTATTTGTGACTGTCAGATCATCAAGTTAAGAGTTATTTGGGAGCTGATAATCATCAGATTGGTACGGAGTGTGGTAACTTTCAAATTTCTGAAACTTGTTTATATGTACCAAATCAATTTAATTCATTTTCAGTAATATTATTTTAGAAGAGCAAAGTTAAGGCAAAGGGTGATCCTGTTTGTATTATTTCAGAATGCAAAATACTGAAAACTGGAATTAAGACACGTCTACAACAACAATTATAACAACAACATCTTTCTGAATGCTATAATTTATTTCATAAA